CACATTAATTAAAAGTAAGTTTGATTAAAATTAGCAGAAATATGACTGCTATGCAATCAATCTTCATTAATCGATATATGCGCTGCTTCATTTTCGCTTCACCATATAGTCAGCACCCGCATCGCATACCGTATACCACATACAAATGTGTCTAACGTATCTATGACCCCCATCTACGCGCACACTATCATCATTAACTGGCTTCACACCTTTGTGTCTACTGCACCAATGATATATAGCTACCTACCCTTCGTCTACTACATCAATAGTACAAATCTACACAACCTGGTGTTTACTGCACAATGATATATAGTTGTACGCTCTTGTGGCTCTGTATCAATGATACATATGTGCACGCACACTATCTACACAAACAAGCTACATACCCTCGTGTATCGTGGCCTAGATCTCTCAGGATCCTATCTAAGTTGTCATGTAGATCACTTGAAACTCCTTAAGATCGTGATTCGTTGTGGTGCTCAGCATATTACACCGTCATACTGCTTCCACCACACACTAGTAACAGCACGTTTGAAATATGATTGCCACAGGGTATATGTAAGTCAATTTGTTGTATATATACATACTGGTAAGTAAGCTGGTTTATATCTATTGTATACACGGAAATCAAAGCTATTGTAAAGCGGACATGTGAATGTAGATCGAGCTGGTATATAGCTTCTATATATATCTGAGTAAAGACGTGATATACACGCAAGTTAAGTTAATAGATACGGTCAAGGTTGATACCACACGCAATTGAAAGTAGTACTGCTTATACACGCAAGATAAGTTGATAGATACGGTCAAGGTTGATACCACACGCAATTGAAAGTAGTACTGCTTATACACGCAAGTATAAGTTGATAGATACGGTCAAGGTTGATACCACACGCAATTGAAAGTAGTACTGCTTATACACGCAAGTTAAGTTGATAGATACGGTCAAGGTTGATACCACACGCAATTGAAAGTAGTACTGCTTATACACGCAAGTTAAGTTGATAGATACGGTCAAGGTTGATACCACACGCAATTGAAAGTAGTGCTGCTTAATAGTTATTTACTATTATTGTTGCTGCGAGTCGTTACACGGATTTTCGCCTCTAGAGTCGATTCTGTCCGTATTACGTAGACCGAGCACAAATTAACTCAAAACACCCTAAACACATCACGTTGAGATTTTCAAGTTGAGGTCTTTCAAGTTGAGGTCTTCATGCGAACGTGTTGTCTAAATACAGAGCCTCTCTCTCTCGCTAGTCTCTATTAGAGTCCTTGACAGCAGAGAGGGTAGAGGCCTAAATATACTCGGCTGATGACTCCCTCTCTCCGGGCACGGGAATCACACAACAAGAGAAGATGCACCTCCCAAAGCCCCCGCTTCCAAACACAATACTGAATAGTGTATACTCTGCTGAGTGCTGGCCACACAATTCGATTCATAACCCCTCCCTGCTCAAGGCTCAGGGCCTTGACAGGACAGTCAAGAGTCAAACTCAAGGCTCGAGATACTTTTCTGTATTCATAAATATTTTCTGACTCTCTATTCATATCTTTGGTCAGATCTTCGGGTTATCGGAAATAGATCGCGCCCGACGCTTTGCCTTTATCGGCTCTTTATTTATTCCATTTTTATGTATATTTACATTGTATTGTCGAAAGGCAGAGAAACGATCACATACATGGTCTACTAGTCTGAGCAGGACGCCGACTTATCAGTACTGAAGTGGCCGGATATACCAACAGTCAAGGACTCGTCCAATTTCGGGTGTCATTCATGCACACACATACGTGCACACACACACACACACATACACGTATGTGTACACACATTTACACACAACATTTGCAACATCCATCCCAGTAAACCGCATATACGTGGTACACCTATCTAAGTTGTCTTACATTCCTACGTGTATAACTTCAATATTTTCGCAACATATACTCCGCCATGTCGATCTTCAATCGATCGCAAAGCATGGAATCAGGTGTCACCAACGACACAACCACCACCACACTCTCACCAAGTCATCATAAATCACCGTTCCAACGCTCAATAAGCAGTGTAAGCCCGCGGAAACTCTCCAAGGACAAACCTAAGAAGAAGCACAGCATGTCACGTGTAGGCACATTCAAGAAAGGTTTGACAGGCAAAAGCAGTCCCGCCACGGCAAACAGGCAAAGAGCAGACAGTGAAATGGCTAGCGTGGGATCATCGAGTGACAATGATGTGTATGAAGGTGCTGACGGTGTCAGTGTTCCCACTGAGGTCAGTATTGAACTCTTCACAGGATCGAATTTCCCATCTGGGAACGGGCCGGTGTTGTTCAAGGCGAAGAATAAAACAAAGGTTTGTAGACCTGTGCTTTGGAAGAGCTCATTTGTTTTGGAAGAAAGGGTTTGTGGATGTTTGCACGCAGATTCTCATGTGCACACGTATTGATGATATTCCCATGGTAAGATTGTTGATTTTGGTGTATACAAACCGGTTATTGTACACATATGCCAACAACACATATTTCCATACATTTGTTTTCTCGTGTAC